CTAATTCCACCAGCACCAATGGACAAAAATCCAAGACCTATAAAAAGAACTCCTAGCTGCCAGTCTTGTGCATGCTCACAATTAGGTCTGTCACTCTCCTTGCATGCATCAGGTCTCAATCCATTTATACCAGCAGTTAGTGTCATCACCAATATACCCTATCATATAACAAACCATTAGGAACATGCTTCAAGGAATTCTAACCCTAGAATTATACAGAATGAGAAAATGGCAATGACGATGAATAAGTGCATGCATGCATGCATGAAAAATTGGCAATTACGTGCAAATAACAACTGAGATGTGAAATTCCAGAATTACCATGAGTGACGCAATACAGCCATATAGAAGGGTTCGAAACCTCCCAAGATAAGCATCAGAAATGAAAGCACCGATTATGGATGCAATGTTTGAGGATCCATTCCAAATTTGCACCGTATTAACCACGAATAATCCACTTAGGTTGTAGTTCGTGAGAAGATACACGGTTAGATTTGATATCAAACTCATCGATGCCAATTTCTCAAACGACTCATTCCCTTAATTAATAAAAAAAACATTAAATTAAGAAAAGAAAAACATGTTTGTAACAACAATGAATGTAATTAATATAAATATACCGATGATATATTTAACAGATCTCCATCCTCCAGCTTCTTTAGGTGAAGCTTCTTCTCCATTAACTGCTATTGGTTTAACATGTTCTAGCTCGAGTGGAGAAGGAGAAGAATTAGTGTTCTTTACATTCTCCTCCATTTCTATTTCTAACTCTCTTCTACTCTTTTTCTAAATAATAATAATAATAATAAAAAAGTGTATATTGAATATTGATGTGTATATATATAAATAACACATGCACTTCTTACTTCTTTTTTTTTTTGTGTTGTGTGGTTGATTCATTCAAAACAGTTAAAATGAATTTTGAGAATTTTTAGGTACGTGGCAATTATGAAACAATATAAGTATTATTAGTTGTAAGTTGTTGATATTAACGTTGTATTGGGTAGAGAGTGAGAGTGGATTTCATACGTGCTTTCAAATTTGTTGGAATCATATTATTAGGTTGAAGCTGTTGATATTTTTGACTTTCTTAACTTTTTATCCTATTTTTACGAACTAATATAACACACTATTATGACTTTTTATCCTAGTTTTACGAACTAATATAACACACTATTATGACTCATTTTTATGGTGACATTTTTTACTTTCTTAACTTTTTATCCTATTTTTACGAACTAATATAACACACTATTATGACTCATTTTTATGGTTAGGGTAACACAGTATCAAGTGGAAAATAATTAGGGTAGGATATGTTTTTATGGCAGATTGATCAATATCAAACCGTTCAGATTCAAATAATTTTTTTAATAAAGAATAAAATATAATTTTATATGATTTTCATATTATCATATCAATTTTTATACAAAAGTATATTATATAAACAACTCTATGTAAAGAGTTAAAATAGTTTGTAATTCCTAATAATTTAAAGTTCGTATCGAAAAATGAAAATATTAATCAATCATTATTTTCACTGTTAATCAAACTTCATATTTTCTAAACATTACTTCCATAAAGCAATTTTTAAAAGTATTGAATCTTAAAAAAAATTTATACTCTTATTTATGTTAACTAAAAAATGGTGATATATGTTCAAAGTAAGATGATACATTTAAAAACATGGATATATTTTTGAGAAAAAAGTTAATATAAAAGTTTTTTTTTTCATCCTAAAACTATATCTTTTCAACAATCTAAAACCAACTAGATTTTAAAAATCACATTTTCAAAACGAAAAATACTTCCTCCGTCTTATATTATTTGTCACAACTATTTCATACAGATTAAGAAATAGTAATAAATAAAAAAATAGTATTTATAAGAGGGTACAATTAAAAGATTAAATATAAATTATATTGGTAATTTAAAGTGACAAGTATTTTGGAATTTTTTTTTTATAAATGTGACACTTATTTTGGGATGGAGAGACTAAGTTATAACACCCTAATACAAAATGGAATCCAGAATACACAATAGAGAAGAAGATGTCGACAATGGATAGAAGCAAATTCGTAATAGAGGTTGGAGGACTAAAGGATGCGGGAAAAGGGAAATGGGATGCATCTGCAAGTAGGAGGAAGAAAGGAGAGCATCAACGAAATGTACACTACAACATTTAGGCTCTCCAGCAACAATTGAAAAACGTTGCCAAAACTCTGAAAATCGTTGCCTAAAACAATAGGGGAAGTCTCTTGTGCGAGCGTTGCCTATTGTTTGAGGCGACGTTTTTTTATGTTTTTTGGGAACGCTTTTGAAAAACGTCGCCTATAGTAAAGGAATAGGGGACGATTATTTACGGCCTCTGAGACAACGTTTTTTAAGCGTTGCGTTGCCAAATTCGGCTACAATTAACAATCGTTGCCTTAAACCTGAATCAGGAAGATCGTTTTTGAAGTGTAGCCATAGCTTATAGGTTGTTGTTTTATAGTGTCCACATAAAATATACAATTTTGCAATTATTATCAAAATAATATAGTCAATAATAATTGGCTTCAAAAATAATATTGATTATATAACTTAAACCATACATCCATAAAAGTTGTAATATAATAAAATCGAGTTCAAACTTTAATTCAAGATATAGTATATAGAGTACACAAAATGCCTAACGTAACAATATTATTTTTAATACTTTGAAGTATGACCCTAGTAAAATTACTAAAAACATAGTTCAACAAAAGAACAAAAATCATATTTCAAGTTTAATGCTTTCAACTACAAGCCAAAAAAAAGACATCATCCAACTCATTCAAGTTTGTCTTCTAGGAGTAAAGCATCCAGATCGTCCTCTTGAAATTCGTTAGATATGTCATCCTCCATAAATTCTCCATCTACGTCGTCCTCTTGAAATTCACCATCTATATCCTCCTCTTGAAATTCATCATCTAGATCTATGTCGTCCTCTTGAAATTCGTCATCTACTTCGTCCTCTTGAATTTTATCATTTAGGTTGTCCTCTTGAATTTTATCATTTATGTCGTCCTCTTGAATTTCATCATTTATATCGTCCTTTTCAACATCTTCATTGATACATTGCTGCATAAGAAAATAAAATAAAACACATTAACCATAAGTATTTTTGGTCCAAAGGACAATTAAGACATCAACAAGAATTAAACCTCGCACAAATAAAAACTAAACCAATGAGCAAAACACATTGTTTATATTCTTCACATCTCATGGATGTGAATTAATTATGAAGGTTTTTAATGGATGTGAATTTTCGTTCTAAACTGTAATAGGTGACATGAGCTTACTAGCAAATAAATCAATTATGAAAACCATTCTGTTTTTGGCTCACTATTCAGGACTTACAATAGCCTTTAACTGTATGTATGTATGTATGTATAACTTGTGCTATCCTTTTATGTTTATTTTTTGGAGTAAATGAACTCTGATGAACACTCTTACTTATTGTATCTTCTTTGGTGTTCAGTATCATATGGATAAATTTACAGCATACATAGTGAGTGTTATCAAACAAGGGGGTCCCATAATCTTATCTCAGGCAAGTATGTTTGTGAAATATCAATGAAAGCTCGCACAAATAAAACAGTTTCAGCCACTTCTAGGTGTTGTCACTACTTAAACAATTTCAACCACTTACTTTATTCTAGGTGTTGTCACTACTTGCAAATTTTTGTATACATTAACAACCATTTTGATACTATAACATAATTAGAAAAATATAAATCAATAATATTGGTATATATGGTTACCTTTCCATGACATGGAGCATGAGTTGATGTAGATGAATGCATTTGCGGTCTTATATCCTTTGAGGAACTATTAGCATCTCCATGAGATAATCCTAACAAATCTTCAATTGACTCTATATTAATTTGAGGATTGCATTGTTGTATTACGATCTTAAAAGAATTTTGCAATCTATCAATCTTATCTTGAAACTCGTCCCTTAATGTAGAGACCTCTTCACTGTGGGCTTGTTTCAAAGCATTAATCTCTGTCTTTCTCTTTAAGGAAGTTTTAGTTATGTTTCTCCCATAACAGCGTACCCTGCCTGGACACTCCTTTCCAAAAAAAACTTTAAAAGCTTTTGTATCACTTTCCTCCTTTTCAACCATTTCTTGAAGTTGGGACTAGCATAAATTACAAAAAAAAAAAATATTAGCTACTATTATAGACAATGTTGGCCGATTATATTAAGCAAACGTATTATATAAACAATGTTACATACAATTACTTTTTCAGTTTCTACATCCAGTTCCTTTCCTTTATTTCCTTTTCGAGTTTCAACAAACATTTCTGATTGAGTGGGCTCTCTTTTTTCCTTTTCACGCTGCACAAATCAAAATAATTCCATAACAAATTATGTGAATTAAAATTCCTATTCACGAGTCAAAGAAAAGTTTTTCACGAATACTTTAATTGAACAAAGAAACATTCATACAAGAAATAATTTATTGAGAACAAAAGAAAGTTACCACTTTTTCACGAGTCAAAGCAAAGTTTTTGGGACCCATTTGATGCATCCACTTTAGTTGAGCTCTATTTCTAGTGTTATTTTCACTGATTGCCTACATTTAAATTTGACTGAATTATTATAATAAATATTACTTAATTATGACATACATAGAAAGGTGTAAATTCACACACATACATAAAAAAATTATTAATCTTACTTGTATAGTTTCTTTACTCCAATAAGCACAAAGACTCTTAAACTGGGCTATTGGCACGTTTGGCGGACGATTTTTGAGTCTCTCGGTCATGTTGGACTCTTAAACTCCAATAAGCACAATGATTCTTCTTAATTTTGTGCTTATATCTTCTCCATGCCTCTCTAACAGTGGTCTCAATCCAATCTCGTGCTTCAACCGGCAAGATAAACTTCCGCTACATAAATTATAAGATAAGACAAGATCAAGAAATGAAACACTTTTTTTTAATAATTAGAATAAATTGGTGAACTTTTAATCTAAACAGCCATATAGAAGGGTTCGAAACCTCCCAAGATAAGCATCAGAAATGAAAGCACCGATTATGGATGCAATGTTTGAGGATCCATTCCAAATTTGCACCGTATTAACCACGAATAATCCACTTAGGTTGTAGTTCGTGAGAAGGTACATTGTTAGATTTGATATCAAACTCATCGATGCCAATTTCTCAAACGACTCATTCCCTTAATTAATAACAAAAACATTAAATTAAGAAAAGAAAAACATGTTTGTAACAACAATGAATGTAATTAATATAAATATACCGATGATATATTTAACAGATCTCCATCCTCCAGCTTCTTTAGGTGAAACTTCTTCTCCATTAAGAGCTATTGGTTTAACATGTTCTAGCTCGAGTGGAGAAGGAGAAGAATTAGTGTTCTTTACATTCTCCTCCATTTCTATTTCTAACTCTCTTCTACTCTTTTTCTAAATAATAATAATAATAATAATAAAAAAGTGTATATTGAATATTGATGTGTATATATATTGGGGTGTTCAAAACCAAACCGGCCCAATAGAAAACCGCAAAACCGAATCGAACCAAATCGAAACTGTAAAAAACTGCATTTGATTCGGATGTGTTTGGGTCATTTTCTCGCGGAACCGCACGGTTCGGTTCGGTTTGCGGTTTGTATTTTACAAACCGAACCAAACCAAACAAAACCGCATTATGTTATAAAATCTTACTAACCAATATATATTTCTTTAATTTTTTAGAGAAATAAACATGTATTATGTGTATATTTTATCATACTTTGTATTATATTCATTTTAATTTACAAATCATAAAAAAATAAAATATTATTCATTTATAAATACTATTTTCACAAAATATATTTTATCGTATTCTTTGTATAATATTTATTTAAGAATGCAATCTTGTTATATCATTCTTTAGATTTAGATAAAATTATAATACGTAATTTTATGTATCAAATTATAAACTTATTTTGACAATTATAAATTTTTTTATGGTAATGTACGAACAATTAAACACAAAATTATATTTTCCTCTATATTTGTTTGGATGACTTAATAATTTTTTTTTGTAAAAAATCGAACCAACCGAACCAATCCAAACCGCATTAGTTTAGTTTGGTTTGGTTCGGATTTATTTTTAAAAGCCAACCAAACCAAACCGAACCGCATGTTTTTTTCTCTTGCGGTTCGGGTGATTTTTTACTTCAAAATCGCCCAAACCGCACCGCGAACACCCCTATATATATAAAGAACACATGCACCTTTTTTTTTTGTGTTGTGTGGTTGATTCATTCAAAGCAGTTAAAATGAATTTTGAGAATTTTTAGGTACGTGGCAATTATGAAACAATATAAGTATTATTAGTTTTACGTTGTTGATATTAACGTTGTATTGGGTAGAGAGTGAGAGTGGGATGACTATAGAAGATGGATTCCATAAGTGCTTTCAAATTTGTTGGAATCATATTATTACGTGTGTGTCGTGGAAGCTGTTGATATTTTTGACTTTCTTAACTTTTTATCCTATTTTTACGAACTAATATAACACACTATTATGACTCATTTTTATGGTGATATTTTTGACTTTCTTAACTTTTTATCCTATTTTTACGAACTAATATAACACACTATTATGACTCATTTTTATGGTGATATTTTTGACTTTCTTAACTTTTTATCCTATTTTTACGAACTAATATAACACACTATTATGACTCATTTTTATGGTGATATTTTTGACTTTCTTAACTTTTTATCCTATTTTTACGAACTAATATAACACACTATTATGACTCGTTTTTATTGTTAGGGTAACACAGTATCAAGTGGAAAATAATTAGGGTAGGATATGTTTTTATGGCAGATTGATCAATATCAAACCGTTCAGATTCAAATAATTTTTTTAATAAAGAATAAAATATAATTTTATATGATTTTCATGTTATCATATCAATGTTTATACAAAAGTATATTATATAAACAACTCTATGTAAAGAGTTAAAATAGTTTGTAATTCCTAGTAATTTAAAGTTCGTATAGAAAGATGAAAATATTAATCAATCATTATTTTCACTGTTAATCGAACTTCATATTTTCTAAATATTACTTCCATAAAGCAATTTTTAAAAGTATTGAATCTTAAAAAAAATTTATACTCTTATTTATGTTAACTAAAAAATGGTGATATATGTTCAAAGTAAGATGATACATTTAAAAACATGGATATATTTTTGAGAAAAAAGTTAATATAAAAGTTTTTTTTTCATCCTAAAACTATATCTTTTCAACAATCTAAAACCAACTAGATTTTAAAAATCACATTTTCAAAACGAAAAATACTTCCTCCGTCTTATATTATTTGTCGCAACTATTTCATACAGATTAAGAAATAGTAATAAATAAAAAAATAGTATTTACAAGAGGGTACAATTAAAAGATTAAATATAAATTATATTGGTAATTTAAAGTGACAAGTATTTTGGAATTTTTTTTTTATAAATGTGACACTTATTTTGGGACGGAGAGACTAAGTTATAACACCCTAATACAAAATGGAATCCAGAATACACAATAGAGAAGAGACGTCGACAACGGATAAAAGCAAATTCGTAACAGAGATTGGAGGACTAAAGGATGCGGGAAAAGGGAAATGGGATGCATCTGCAAGTAGGAGGAAGAAAGGAGAGCATCAACGAAATGTATCAAGTTTCTTTTCACTAAGTTCTCATACTCTCATGGAGCTAAGGAGATGTACAAGATTTTTAAGAGATATGGAGAAATAGATGAGGTGGTGATACCGCCTAAGTGTGATAAGAGAGGTAGGCGTTGTGGCTTTGCAAGAATTACGAATGTGCTTGATGAAAAATTTCTAGTAGTAAAGTTGGACAATATTTTCATCAATAATAAGAAGATTTTTTCAAACATTCCAAGATTTCAAATGGGTATGAGGGACAACAAAGATCAAACAAGGTACAAGCAGAAGATTGAAATTGTCAATCAGAAAAACAACTATGCCCACTGTTGTACCCCAAAATTTGAATCCCCAGGTTTACTTCCATCTAATCCCAAGTTTTGAATTATAAATTTTTCATGAAGATCACTCACAAGGGCAAAATGGTCATTTACACGCTGAAAGACCAAATTTTGACCTTTTGATCAAAATCAAATCTCAAAGATCATATTTTATCAAAACATGTTGAAATAGGAAGTTTGTTCCATCTAAAGTTCAAAGTCAAATTTACTATGGAAAAACCAAATGTCTAAATACTTGGGATTTTTCTAAGTATTTAAGAAAAAATGACAGTTCAGAAGTTCTGAACCAACCTCCAGGCAGGAGCAGCCAAAAGTTGCAAACTTAGCTCAGCACATAACCTTCAGCCAGAATGTGGCTCTTCAGCATCTACGCAAGTTCAGCCAGAGTTTGCCAGGTTAAAAACAGAAGATTATAAAACGTGATAAAAAATCTGAATGCTCTTTCAGAACATGCTGGAAAGCCTAAGGATCCCTCAGAACTTGCTAAGGCAGCAGGATACCAAGATCAGAACTTGGGTACTTTGTTCTAGACTACGTTGAAATGGAACTTCTGGCCTAAATTTAGTCAATGATGCAAAATCCCCCATTACAGGATTTCTGATTTTGACAATTCTCATCACTATTTAATGCTCATTAATGCACACAAACACCCTTAGGGTTTCTCCACTCGGTTGCCTTATACAAAAATAGCCATATTACGCATGCGAAGTATCTTGGTAAAACAAACAAAATCAGAAGATCATAGTCCCTCGATGATGCTATTCAAGGTTGCCTTACAAAATGATCTTGGTCCCTCAAAATGCTAAGATACTTTGCAACATTGCTAATCATGGTTATACGATGACCCACGCCCGTCCCGTTTACATCCAAAGATAGGGTTGCTTACCAAATCAATGGTAAGACAACAATGTCAAAGGAATAGAAATGCATAAGAAAGACATTTGAGTAGGTAGATTGCTTCTAGTTACTTGCCCCATCTCAAAACAATTATCCTTTCTATTTTCAAAAACCCACACATTTCCAAAACATCTTACAAACATTGAAAACATTTTCAAAAAGACAAACATATTTGTATATGTTGTACCCCAAAATTTGCCCTCCCATTTCCTCAACATTTTCTCACCACAAGATCCTTGGAGCTCAAGATCAAGTTAGGGTTTTGCTCTGCTCAAGACTTCTCCTTGCACTGTTGACCCAAATTAGGGTTTGTGTTTGCACAAAGATGTTTTGACCCAAAAGGCCCAAAGTGACTTCCATGCTTCATGTTGGACTCACAAGTTTATCCATACCAAGTTTCAAGCCTTGATTCCAATCTTTGCCCGGTCAATTGGACAGTTGACCTAGAAATCAACTGTATTGGGGAAAAAGTCAATTGTGGTCAATTGATAGTCAAACCTCATGATTTTTGACCCACATCAACATTATGAATTTATATGAACCATTTGGTCAAGTTTGGATCACAATTCCACAAGAAATTTGATCAGATCATCAAAAGGGCAAAATGGTAATTTTTAGGGTTTTGACTGCACAAAGGCATTTTTTGACTGTTTGACCTAGCCAATGGCAAACCAAGCTCACATATGGACTCAAGGACTCAATGGATTTGTCTTGACATGTTCAACAAGTTCAAAAGATCCCAAATGCACAAGATTGACAGATGAATTTTCCAGTCAACTGAGCCAAAATTGACTGTATACTGAAAAGTCAAACTTTGACTTTTTGGGTCAAAATCAAGTGTCAAGATTCATTCTTCATCAAAACATGCCAAATCATGAAATTTGTTCATCAAGAAATCAAAAAATCACAAATTAGGGTTTGAAATGAAGAATTTTCATAACTTAGAAATTTTCTAAGTTATGAAAATCCCTAATTTTTTCCTAACTTGGTCCCATTTTTTCATCAAGATACATTTGGATTCAAGGAAAACTCAAAACATAAAAGTTATAGTCCATTGCAAAATCTACAACTTTTATTCATAAAGTTTCCTCAAAAGAAGCTTGTAGCTCAAGTTATGATTTTTGGAACAAGGGTGCAAAACATTCTTAACTTAGAAAATTTTTTACCTATTCTAGGCAGGATTTTTGCCTAACTTCATGACCACTTTTCACATGCTTCCACTTGGAATTTCAAATTTCATTACAAATATGGATTGTAGTACACATTCCAAGCTTTCCAAAATGTCCAAGAACTTCTCAAACAACCTTATGGTTAGGGAGAATCAAATTTGGCAATATGGGCAAAAGTCACTTTGTTCATGAGCCATTTTCATGTTCATACACTTAGGCATTTTTGAACTCAGCTTGCACAACTTGATTACAGGCCTATTATCTCATTTACACTCAATAATTTATTGCCAATCCTTTGTGTTCAAGCCTTATTTTGTGT